GACTCGTGCATCCATCACATAGGATACAAACCCTCTACAGCCATGCTATAGACTCTGTCTCGCTCTGGCAGCCGAACAAAATGCTGACCCAGATCGGGTACCCTCGCCATACACCGTAAGTACTCCCTCACTAGGGTCTCGTATGGTCACCAACTGTCGCTCACAGTCTATAACAGCTCCAAATCGACTCAACCAGTCCATGTGCACGATGACACAAACATCCCCCATCGCAATCGGTACCAGATCTATCGGGAACTCAACACCGAAAATCTCGAGTACACATCCTCGAATCACATCAGTAGCATAAACCGCTCACTCGTCAGCTATAGAAACTCGTAGAGGTCGACTCAACGCCTCTAGACGGATACTGATGTGCTGGCTAAACGCTAATGACACGAAAGATCGACTCGCACCCGAGTCAAATAACACCAAAGCAGGTACATAACTCACAAGAAAAGTACCTATGCATACCACAGAATAAGCACAATATCTCAAACTCAGTATAAGTAAATAAAAGAATACATACCAGCCACGACAACGGGCGGTGCGCGGACCTTCTCCGCTGTCAACTGAAAGGCTCTCCCGCGAGCCTTCGGTGCCTCGGCCTTCGCTGGCCGGACCTCGGTAGCTCTAGAAGCAGGTGCAGATCCCTGTGCTGATCCCTGAAGTAGCTGTAGGCACTCGGCCTTCCGATGGCCTGTCTGGTTGCAGTGAAAGCAAACCGAAAATCCCTTGGGGAAATCCCTCGCGATATGCCCGTCCTTCCCACACTTGTAGCACACACCCGCTCTACACGTCCCATCATGGCTCTTGCCGCACTTCCCGCAAGTGCGGCCCTTCGGACCTGCAGATCTCGAATCAGCGGGCTTTGCCCGCTTGGCTGCCGGCTGAGACTGTACCGGCCGCCTATCCCTCCTCTGAGACTCGGCCTCCTCCCTGGCCTGAGTCTCTAGCTCAATCTCCCTCTTCCGGGCATTCGCCTGGAGCTCGGCAAATGTCCGGTATGTCGAGTTCACCACGAACTCACGAATGTCCCTCCTCAGTATGCTCAGATATCGGCTCGTACGTGCCTGCTCGGTAGACACATGCTCAGGGCAAAACAACGCCCTCTCATGAAACATCCGTGTAATCACAGTCACGGACTCCGTCCCCTACTTGAGGGACAAGAACTCCTGCGCCAACCGTTCCCTCTCCACCGGGGGAACATACTCATCTCTGAACATGGTGGTGAACCTCTCCCAAGTCACCGCTGTAATATCTGCAGGAGTGAAGTCTGCCGTAACAAACTTCCACCAGTCCTTCGCTCCCAAGCGAAGCTGGTTCAGCGCGAAACGTACTCTCAGATGCTCCGGACAAGAACAGGTGTAGAAGCATCCCTCAATGTCAGAGATCCACCTCATCGCGACTATCGGATCCTGAGTCCCATAAAACTCTGGTGGCTTCGTGTTGCTGAACTCTCGGTACAACAACGAGTCACCCTCCTGTGGCCTGGCAGCGGCGACAGCTGCGGTGGCTGCAGCAACAACAGCCTCGGTAAGAGAAGCATACCGCTCGTCAAACGTCTCAATCAAAGTGGTCTTGATAGACCCAAACATCTCAGGAATCTCAGCTCGTATGGCTGCGGCCACCTCCTCGTGAATCAACCTACGGATCTCCTCATCACTGGTACCACTGCCTCCTGGTTTGTGGCGCGTCCCAACCATGATGTCTCTGAAATACAACACAAGAAAATCAGAGACTCGCTCGAGTATACTCGCACTCGATACTCAACCTTACTTGTTCTTTAGTACCCTACGGATTCTTACTTGGACTGCTCACCGATCTGGTGTTTCCAGTAGTACGGGCCCTATACTACCTTCCACAACGCATCGGTACTCACCAACTTAAATGTTGATACACTTTCAAAATCACTTGTATTCTCAGGAAACCGATAAGACAGGTACACCCGCAAGATTTTGAGAAGACGGAGCATTCTAGAGTCACGTATTTTATACTTTTGTTATACATTTTGATGTCATACAAATTATGTATTGAACATATGTAAATACTCTACCTTATCAATGTAATGATTATGTTTGCTTTGATTCCTATTATACAATTGTTGTGATACTGTACATGACGTCCTCCGCCCCCGAACGTTTCCGTCGTTCCGGTTTGGGGACGTGACAAAGCTCTTATCAAAAATCATGGAGTCATCATCGTTTAACCAGCCACCAGATTTGGTTTCGCCGGCCACCGCCGTCGCCTTCGTTCTCACTCACTCACAGTTAGGTTCCGTGGTTCTCAGCAACAATAATCAGATTCAGGATCTTCCATTCACCTCTGACCGCTGTTGGTTCCTCCGAAAGAAGTCGTGTAGAAGATGATAACAAGGATCGAAAGCTACTAATAATTGCTACAACTTCAACCATAGCGGCGACATTTTGGTATTTTCTCATTTTTTGTGCTAGTACAAAACGAGTGTGATCTAGAGGATTTGACTCTCCAGCCTCGCCGAAGAAGAAATATTCATCGGAGAAGGGAGCCATCAAAGAGGAAAATCTTGCCGGCAGAGTAAGCGAACCTCCTGAAAGCTGTTTCATTATGTTGTTGATGATGAGTTGAAATTGAGTCGAGTTGACCCGGTGACAACAGGTTGGATATTAGAACGAGAGCACATCTGATAAAGGGGTGGCGTGCTAAACTGGTGGTGTCTTAGGTCAGATCAATGCCAAAAGGAAAAGCAAAAGTCTCTTTACCATGACGTATGATAAATGTATAAGACTAATAAAAATGTTGGTACCTGAAACACATATCACATAACACGGTAAGCATAAAAGCTTAGTGAGTTCCCCAAAATACCACATACAACACATAAGTCACTCGAGGCTATAATTCGGTATGACCCTCCGGTCAATGTGTCTCAGCGGGACCCTCCAGTCCCGTAGCTCGTTGGACCCTCCAGTCCGGTTTAGCTCGTTGGACCCTCTGGTCCGGTCTAAATCGTAGGACCCTCCGGTCCGGTCTATATAACACATAGCATACATATATCACAATGCACATAAACTCAACATACACATAACACATAAGACCCTCCGGTCCGCACATAGTTACCACTCTAGGTAATGTATAGTGAGAAGACTCACCTCCGGTAAATCTCGGAAAGTCTCGAACTCGAATATCTGATCTAGCCTCCGCCTAATCACATAAAGTAATTATCTCTAATTAATACGGCTCTCAAAGGCTAGGCTAGTCCCTCCCTATATTCTCTCAGAAGGGGAAAAGACCATTTTACCCCTCCAATGGTCCAATGTCCAAATGTTGACCAACCCTAAAAGTCAACCCCAGTCAACGGTCCAACTTTGACCAGACTCGTCGAGTGCACTCGGGTGACTCGGCGAGTCCATGCGTGTCCTCTGAATCCTCCTAGGGCCTCACTCGACTCGTCGAGTTAACCTTTCTCTCGATGGGTTACCACTGATCACGAATCGTGGTGCAACACGATCCGACTCGTCGAGTCCGCTCATGGACTCGGCGAGTTTCTTCAATGAGAATGCTCAAACGACCTTCTGAGGTCAGATCTGTTTCTCTAACCTATAGATCTGACCTTCTAACACCCTAAAGTCACGTAAAGGTCTGAACTTTACGTTCATGCATCGCACATATAGCTCTATTTGATGAAATAGCTCTAAAAATGGAGTCCTAGGCTCAATTTCCTCATGTAACATCATAAAGCTTGGTTGTTGGGACACTCTGGACCTCTCAAGGTCCAGATCTAAAGTCTATTCCTCAATGGGACTTCACATGCTCCATAATCCAACTAAAGAAAGGGTAAAAACCCTAGATTCCATAAATCTACTATATACACGAAAATAGGCATGGATTCATACCTCAAACAGAAGCCCTTGATAAAATAGAAGAAGTTCTGAGCCCCCTCTAAGCAGCCTAGCTTGAATCTTCCTTCCTTCCTTGCAAGAATGCACTATGGTGGTGAAATTAGCCCTCTCTCTCTCTCTCTCTAAGCTCTCTGGCTCGCTACGGTTTCTCCAGGGTATGAGTGGCCGCAAATGAAGGCCATAAGGACCCTTAAATAGGGCACAAGCCCAAAGATTTAGGGTTTCTATCCACAGCGCGGACTCATCGAGTCGACTCACCGACTCATCGGGTCCATTCATTAATCCTAGTCAGCAGTCGCGATCATACTCGACGAGTCTAGGCGTCAACTCGTTGAGTCCCTCTCCTTGACTAAAAAATAAATGCTCAATTTATGATACCTGAAAATCCGGATGTTACAATTCAATTATTGTTTTTTTCAACTTTAATCATATGTGATTAAATACATCTAATCACATGTGATTATATGTATATAATCATATATGATTTATATGGACAAAAAAGAATATTGTGCATATAAAATATATGTGATTAGATACACATAATCACATATGATTATATACACATAATGACAGGTGGTGGTGGTGTGTGGTGATGTTTGGTGGTGGTAAGTGGTAGGTGGTGGTGGTGGTGGTGAAGGGTGGTGGGGTGACATGTAGTGTGGTGGATGGTGGTAGGGGTAGTGAGTGGTGATAGTGATGGGTGGTGGAGATGGGTGGTGGTAGTGGTCGGTAGGTGGTGGTGGTGTATGGTGGTTTTATTGGGTGATGGGTGGGGTGGTGGTAGCGGGTGGTGGTGATGGGTGGTAGAGGTGGTCGGTGGTGATGGGTGGTGGTGGTATAGACATGCTAATTATTAACAATTGGTATTATGAAGACGATGGAGTAATTGACCAATATAAATGGTATAAACATGCTAATTTTTAACGAGATCTACATTTGATGTTGATTTTGTTATATTGGTAGAGACCATTTTTTTTTATCTAATGACATTTTTTAGCGAGATCTATATTTTTTTTTATCTTGTTTTATAAATTTGATAAAAGAAATAAAAATAAAGGGTGGGACTTGGTGTGAAAGTACTTTTGCGTTTTGACATCAAATCAAGATCAAAATCAAAAAGATTGAAGGTGGTGAACGGTGAAATGAAAACAAACTCTGTCACCAACTTGTCAGAAACCCAAAAGCCCTCATCTCTCTTTTTCTCTATTTCTCTCTCATCGCTTGCAAAGTGAATAGTGTGTGTATAGTATCCAAAAGATCAAAAAGCCGAAAACTTCTCTATCTCTCATTCTCATGGAGAGAGAGAAAACCCCAGTTAGATAACTGCAAGACACAAATACTTCACATAAATTGTCCCCAAAACCAGAAAAAAAAGCAATCAGATCAACCATCTGCTCATCCTCGGTCGTCTGTCAGTTGATTGATTGTGAAATGCACAGGCTCTGGTGGGGTAATTTTACCAAATTCATCGAGGTGAGAAATGTTTTTTGTTTCGGTGTTGGTTTTAATTGATTTGAGTTATTCCTGGTCGATATTATTATGCGTTTAACAACAATTCATCATTTAATATTTTAATTCGCGTTTTATGATCTTGTTTAGATTAAATTTGGAGTGACTTCGACTTAGATCTGACTGATAGTGAAAATTCTACCTCATTTGATTCATTTTTATCACGAACACAAGTTTTTGCGTGGAATTATTTGGCAGTTTCCGTAAGTGTATGTGGAGTGTAGCAGTCGTTGCCACCTTTGCTGTTACTCATCCGGTGTAAAATGGCTTCTGCCAGCCTTGGACATGGCGGAGTTGGCAGTTCCAGAGCTGTTACCGGCTTCAATGATTCATCTAGTTCAGTTGACTGGCTGGGGAGGGAGATGCTTGAGATGCGACTCAGGGACAAGGTGGAACATGATGATGAAAGAGTGAGTGTAAGTTCCTTTTTCCCTTACCATAAACTTTCTTATATATCTTTCATAAAATTCTTATATATCTTCATTTATTGATAATCTGTTCATGTTGGATTTATATTGCAGGATAGTGAACCAGAGATAGTACATGGTGTGGGTGCTGAAGCAGGGCATGTGATAAGAACAACAATAGGTGGTTGCAATGGTCAGTCTAAACAGGTTGGCAGTATTGATTTTTTCAAGTATTAGCCTTTTTCATGGCAATGGATCAAATTACATAAATACCCTTTCTTTGATCTTGTGTTGTCAGACTGTCAGTTACATAGCTGAGCATGTGATTGGAACCGGCTCTTTTGGTGTTGTTTTCCAAGTAAGCAGACGATTTTGTTGAGTTATTGTTTTAAAATATAGATTCTTAGTGTGATTTTTCTTTTTTCTTTTTCTGATTTTGTTTTTGGCGAAGGCGAAATGCAGAGAAACTGGAGAGATTGTTGCTATAAAGAAAGTTCTTCAAGATAAGAGATATAAGAACAGGGAGCTACAAATCATGCAAATGCTGGATCACCCTAATGTTGTGGCCTTGAAGCATTCTTTCTTTTCAACTACTGATAAAGAAGAGCTATACCTCAATCTTGTTCTTGATTTTGTTCCTGAAACAGTTAGCAGAAGTGCTAGACATTACACTAGAATGAACCAACGAATGCCCTTGATATATGTCAAGTTATACACCTATCAGGCACGTGCATGTTTTTTTTTTCCTTAATTGGTTAAACACTCAATCTGGATAGAATGACTTAATGGGTTAAGCCTAAAAACTTGGCTAGTGTCGTAAGACAATAAATTTTTCCCTATTTCTTTTCTTTTTTCCTCCTAATTTCTCTCAGGTTAATGTTGATGAACATTGTGAAATTTGTTTTTTGGAATGTAATGGTAAATTGGTCCTTTAGTTTTATTCAAACGGTTTATTCAATCTAAAAGAGAAACATATCAAATGTATACAACACTTTATCCATACAGACCTCATTACCCATTGAGCCAATTTACACATACATGATTTAATGGGAAAAGAAAGAAACATCCCCTTAGTTTTGTCCGGATAAATGATGTTTAAAAAATATTTGAGAAAATGATGACAGACTTGGTGAAATGAAGAAGAAAGTCAAATAAAGGCAACTTTGTAAGATATTAGGAATTAATGGGGAAAGCCTCATTTCCCTTACTTTCTCTATTAAGTTGTTGTTTTTTTTTTTTTTTTTTTTTTTGCATTAAGTTTAAAGGAAACATTTGCTTTTGTTTGCAGATATGCAGAGCACTTGCTTATATTCATAATTGCATTGGTATCTGTCATCGTGACATCAAGCCTCAAAATTTGCTAGTAAGATTCTTTTGTAATATTAAGATTGTTTAATTATATAAATAAAATCATACTATAGTCGTCTCGTTTTTACACATGTCAAGAAACAATAAAAAACTCAAAAGATTTTCATTCTTGTATCTTTCCTTATTTCAGGTGAATCCACACACACACCAGCTAAAACTATGTGACTTTGGAAGTGCTAAAGTTCTGGTAAGTTACATAAACATGTTCATGTTGGTTTTAATTTAGTAGTTGTGTCTTGTTTATATTCTTTAATTTGTTTTTATAGGTAAAAGGAGAGCCTAATGTTTCTTATATCTGTTCAAGATATTATCGTGCACCAGAGCTTATATTTGGTGCCACTGAATATACACCAGCTATAGATATTTGGTCAACAGGCTGTGTCATGGCTGAACTACTACTTGGACAGGTACTTAGCTTTATATTTTTGTAAATTTTTCCTTGATAGAATATTTTCAAAAATATAAAATCCGTTGAAGCTTCATAATCTTTTCATAAAAAAAAATATAAGTTTAAGTTTTTTTTCTTTCAAAAATGACAAAATAGCCAGCTTACCAGTTGCAAAGAGTATTATTACATAAAGAATGACAAATAGTTGATTATTCTCATAGTAATTTTAATATGCAGCCATTGTTTCCCGGAGAAAGTGGTGTTGATCAACTTGTGGAGATCATTAAGGTAAGATAAATCAACTGATAACACACATTTTTTTAGCTTAATTTTATTTTTGATTTATTTACTGACTTTAAATAGTATATTTGTTGTACAGGTTTTGGGAACTCCTACAAGAGAGGAGATAAAATGCATGAATCCAAATTATACTGAATTTAGGTTTCCTCAAATAAAGCCTCATCCATGGCACAAGGTATGCACTGTATCATCAATATATATATATATATATATATATATATATATATATTAAACTCTAAATATAATACTTAAACAAGTCTGGGGAGAGAGAATCTCAAAAGTGATAATTTTGAAGATTCAAAGAAACAAAAGGACAAAACACATAGATTTATTATTGGATAAATTATTTAAAATCATAAATTTTATTTGACTGGTTCTTTTAGTTAAAAAATAATATTAGGAGTAGATTACCTTTCTGGTCCCTGAGTATAGCTGGTTTCTGCAATTTTGGTTCTAAAAAGTTTTTCTCGCAGTCGTGGTCCTTTTTAAGAGGCTCTGGTAATGTTTTTAATCCGTGTTTCAAGTAAAATGATTATTTTTGGTCCCCAAGTATAGCTGTTTTTGCAATTTTGGTTCCAAAAAAATAGTAATAATTTTACTCGGAACAAGGACCAAAATTGCAGGAGAAACTTTTAGGGACCCAAATTGAAAAAAATCAACTATATTCAGGGACCAAAAATGTGATTTACTCTATTATTATTATTTGTTTTTTTTTATTTATATTATAGTTAAAATAAATTGTTTGTGTATTGTAAGTATAATTATTAAGAGTAAATTTCATTTGTGGTCTCTGAGTTTAGCTGATTTTTTCATTTTTGGTCCCAAAAAGTTGTTCTTTTGCAATTTTGATCCTTATTTGATGATTTTGTAACGTTTCTGGTCTTGTTCCAAGTAAAATGACTATACTTTTTAGACCAAAATTGCAAAAATCAATTATACCCAGAACTAAAAATAGTCATTTTACGTGGAATAGGAACCAACAACATCACATGAACCTGTAATAACTAATAAGACCCAAATTTGCAAGAGAACTTATAGGGACTAATATTGAAAAAATCAGCAATGTTTCAGGGACTAAAAATGTAAGTCAAAGTATGATAAATAATTATTAATTAGATTATGTTAAAGTCAACCTAATTAGAATATTGTTTTATTTTTCAGGTCTTTCAAAAGCGTTTACCTCCAGAAGCAGTGGATTTAGTTTGTAGGTTTTTTCAATATTCACCTAATTTGCGTTGCACTGCGGTAATTTATAACTCATAACCCTTTTTACTATAAATTCAGTCGTAAAGTAGTAATTTAAAAAAAAATTAGATTCTTTTTTTATAAAATTGCAGTTGGAAGCTTGTGTTCATCCCTTCTTTGATGAATTGAGGGACCCAACCACCCGTCTTCCTAATGGTCGTCCACTTCCTCCACTCTTCAATTTTAAACCACAAGGTACATAATTAGTTATAATTAAATTAAATAATGTATATATAGTAGGGTTGAAACTATACATTGTATATAAAATAAAAAATAAAAAATAAAAAAAATTAATTTTTATGCCCCTTCGTTATTCCATGCTATACAACCAAACAATCCCTAAAAGTTTTAATTATATAAGTTATTTTCCATTTATTAGGATTTGGTATAAGGATTTGGTATAAGAGCATTAGTTTAAGTAAACAAATTCCAGATCTATAAGTATAAGTGCTTTGGACTTAAACTGTAAGATTGTTTGTGATGCAGAGCTTGCAAGCATCCCTTCTGAGACTTTGCAAAGGTTGATACCAGAACATGCTCGAAAGCACAACTTATTCATGGCTTTGAACACACAATGAGTTTGTTGTTATTATTATTATTATTATTTTCTTTTTCTTTTTGTGTTAGTATATATATATATATATATATATATATATATATATATATATATATTAGATTATGATCAAATGAGAACACCTAAAAGATTGAGAACGCAAGAACATACCTAAGCCCTCTAAATTTTAAAATCAAAGGTTAATATTAACGGACCATTTATATAAATTCTGAAAGTCATAGGATTAAACTGTAACTTCTTAATTAACTAAAAGGGTACTATAGTCATTAGGTTTTATCTTATTTTTATCAGCTCCTAAAATCTCTCTCTCTCTCTCTCTCTCTCTCTCTCTCTCTCGTTTCCTTTAAACCCTAATCGATGGAAGCCAACATTAAAAAAAACGTACGCCTCTTCCCTCTCATCTCTCCACTGCCGACCTTTTGAGTTTTCTTCAACCTAGCCGCCACACAAGACACAAAAACACCACCACTGCCATCTTGATAGTCGAACCCGCCAGCAACACCACCACCACCATTATCATCACACAACAATCATCTCCACGCCTCTATCAACAGATGGGTAGAGATCGTTCGTGAGAAAGAGAAATACAAAGACTTATTACATATCAGAAGCCGACTGAGGCCATAGAGCCGGAGGAGGCCATAGAATGAGCGGAAAAGCATTCCTATAACTCGATTTTAGTTTATCGGTTTTCATTGAAGATTCTAGATCTGCAAATCGATTTCAATTTGGAAGATATGGTTTCGATTTTGCTTGAATGTTGCTATGAAGATAAATGCTGATGATGGAGGCTATGTCGATGGTGGTTTCCTGGTGATGAAAGGTGAAGGTTGTCGGCATGTCATGATGATAATGACGGGTACGATTAGGGCTTCCTTTATCTTTCATTTGTTCATAATCAATTATGAAAAAATATTAGACAGAGGGCACGAAGAATCAGAGAGATGCGAGAGAAACTTATGAACTGACTATGAAGGTTCTGAGAGTTCTTCCATATGGGTTTTTGTGGAGGTTCATTGGAGTTGTTTGAGAAGATGAAAGGTGAAGAATTTGAGCTAGATGAGAATGAAAAATTGTATTATGTTCTATATTTTTTTTAGATGTAAGTTATATTATATTTTGATTAATTCATTTATATTAGAATGTGTATTTATTTATGAATAGCGGTGTATTCATTTGTAAATATCAGTGCATTCATGTGTGAATGAATGTATTTATTTATGATTGGAGACATTCATTTATTCATTTGTGAATAGCAGGGTACTCATTTGTTAATAGCAGTGTATTCATTTGTGAATAACAATGTAATCATGTGTTAATGAATGTATTTATTTATGATTAAAAGTATTCTTTTTATGAAGAAATGATAATTTTTACACTCTTTTTATTTTAACTGAATAAAAAAAAGAATTGAGTTACTTGTAAATTGATGTGTATTCATTTGTGATTGGAGTAGTATCATGTTTTTTGAAAAAAAAATCATTTGTGAATACAAATGTATTGATTTGGGGTTGGATTTCTATTCATTTTTTTGAAAAAATAAAATGTGAAATAGGAGAAAAAAATTGATTTTTTAAGAATTTTTTTTTTCAGTTTTAAAATAAATTTTGGTAAAAATGTTTTTTTTTATATTCCATTAATAAGAAAAATAAAAAATCGAATATTTCTTTCTTTGTTGGTAACTGATCCTAAATTTAAGAGAATTTGATTGAATTTTATTTTATTTTAATTTAATTAAAATATACAATTACTAATATGTCCTTATATATTGATTGGTCCAGAACTGTGTTGCGTTCTCAACCCTTAAGGTGTTCTCATTTGATCAATCCCATATATATATATATATATATATATATATATATATATATATATATATATATATAATATATATATATATATATATATATAGGGCTAGGTTATAATGTTGATGAACAATTATTATGCAGACGTGTGGACAGTGCTATTCTATGAGAATTACTAAGGGAATAAGTTGTTTAGTAATGCGAATACATTCAACCTTACATAAATATAATCATTTTTATGTATTCTTATTAATTCTTATTCATTTTTGTTCTCACACATCGTTTTTCACTCACTTTCATTCGGACAGAATACGACTCAATAAAATTCTGACAACATTCTGACAGAATGAGAATAATAATAAAAAGTCTATAATAACTTTATAGATGATTTAATTAGTGAAAATGTATGTTAATGACAATAGTTATGTAAGATTAACGTATTTATATTATCAAACAAGATATTTTCTTTGTCATTCTCACCGAATAGCATTGTCCATACGTCCGCACAATAGATGTCAATCCACATTTGAACCTAGCTCTCTCTCTCTCTATATATATATATATATATATATATATATATATATATATATATATATATATATATATATAAGAGCTTGCATATAAACTTGTTATGGTTTTCGTATATGGTAATGTCATTGTAACACCCATAAAATTTGAGACAATTTAAAACATTTTAATTCATTCAAAAACCATTACGTTCTTACATTTTGTTTTCAAAATAGTTTAAACATCAGAGTATCCCCCAGAACCATATCACATAAATCATAAAACATGAGGAGCGGTACGATCACGCCTTCGCCTTGCTACGTTCTCCTGAAGTACCTGAAACAATACACTGAAACTGTAAGCCCGAAAGTTTAGTGAGTTACCCCCAAAATACCAACCACACATATCATACTCATAACATATCACAATACAGAACAGCCATGCACATCGGGTCTACTTTGTGACTGGTCCGCCCGCATCGGGCCTTCAGTCCACCTGGTCCACCCTCCGAGTCTAGTCATGTACATCGAGTCTACAGTGTGATTGGTCCGCCCGCACCGGGCCTCAATCCACCTGGTCCACTCTCTGAGTCTACAGTATGACTGGTCCGCCCGCACCGGGCCTTCAGTCGGCCTGGTCCACTCTTCTAGCCTCGGCACGTCTGGTCCACCCTCTTGGGGCCTTCAGCCTATCCGGACCGCTCGCTGGGCCTACGGAATATCCGGTCCGCCCTGGGTATGTTGGCCTACAGCACAAAGCAGGACCGCCTCAACCCAACCCCCGTCAAACAACCATGTGCACATAACAATTAATCACATAACAATCCTCAACCAAACAAACAGTCTAACAGATCACATAGCATATCAACATCCTAACCAGGATTCCGACCTAACCGGTCACTAGCATAACATTGCCCTATATACCGGGTACCGACCTTAACCAGGTCACTAACATAACACCATCCTAAATACCAGGATGCAGATCTAGCAAAGCAATAACATAACAAACAATACCCGGATTTCCATCCGATAAAGGGCCGGCCTTGGTGCCGTAGACCCTGTCAATATAGTAAGGATAACTCACCTGCAATTGCCGACTGAAGAGATAAGACCAAGCTGCTCCGACCACCGACACGAACTTCACCACAGAACACTACCAAAGAACCAATTCCATAAATACCAAAATACCCTTGGAAGTCAAACTGGTCAACTCTTGGTCAAAGTCAAAGTTCTCAGTCAAAGTCAACCTTCCTGGTTGATTCTACTCGCCTAGTCGACCCGTCGACTCGTCGAGTTCCTATACTCAGAAACTCCCATAACACGATTCAACTCACCGAGTCGCCCCAAGACTCGTCGAGTCCAACGATCTCCGAGTCCCATCCTGACCAACTCACCGAGTCACCCCTCGACTCACTGATCTGCGTCTTAACCAAAAGAGGTTAGGGGTTCTGCGACCTGACTCGCCGAGTCCAAGAACAGACTCGCCGAGGCCAAGGCAATCTTCAACAGACTCGTCGAGTTGTTCTTCAACTCGCCGAGTCCATGCCTATCTTCATGTGACTCGCCGAGTCCACCCATGTGACTCGCTGAGTCCACCCATGTGACTCGCCGAGTCCCTTCAGTACTTCATCCATACAGAGGCTTTTTGAGCCATGCAGGGGCTCCAAACTATAGATCCACTCTTCTAGGGCATAACTCCCTCGTAAAGTTGCAAACTTTACGTGAAACCAAGGGGATAAAGGTCCAAAATCACTCTAGGGCTAGGGTTTAAGACAAAGGGGCTTCACCAACAACTCATTGACTGATGCTCTATGACATTCTAGACCAACACAAGTCTAGATCTGGAGTAGCAACTTCAGATCTAAACTCCAAACCATAAATAGATCTTAAACACACCAAAATGGCCCCAAATCTCCTACATGAATAGATCTAGATGCAAAAGAGTGAAGGTAACGGCTTATTACCTCCAAGATGTGCCCAAACTTCAGTAGATTCTGGATCTACACCACTCTCTTGATGCAAGCCCTTTTGATCTTCAAGTTTCTTCCACTAGAAACAACTTCCAAGCTTCAATCTCCCTCCAAAGGCCTCACACACACGAGCTTAGGGTTTTCTGGTTCTCAAGGGCAATAAGGAGGCTGAGAGAAGGACATAAAGTCCTTTAAATAGGGTGCAACCCCCGAGATTAGGGTTTTCTCATTCCAGCACCAACTCGTCGAGTCCAAGCCGCCGACTCGGCGAGTTGGCCATTTAAACCGCGACCCAAACCCGCTCCGACTCGGCGAGTAAGCGTACCTACTCGTCGAGTCCCTTCTTCGAGATTACACTTTGCACTCTTCCACTTCTTGCTTCCGAACTTGGGATGTTACAGTCATGAGGCTGGAAGGAAGATGATGAGGAATTGTTATGATTCGAATATTAAATATATTTATGTATTACCTTAGTTTGTAAGAATTTTTAAGAGGCTTAATCATTCATATATAATTTTGTTCCATTGTTGTGAATAGTTGGTAATATAAAAAGAAACCGGTTACATCATACTTGATTACTATAAATATTTTACATGAAACACAACTATAATTTGAATGAAAATAAGACTTTTCTTTCATTAATAAAGTAGTCAATACAATGTTATTGCATATCAAGGCGATATGAAAATATGAAAACTATGATCATTACAAATAACATCAACATCA